TAACTGCGCTTTTAAAGTTGCAGTATTAAAATATACCAAAACATTGATAATTTTTTGCATAGTGTCCATGTCAACCAAATTTATAATATAGTTAGCATATTCTTTTTAAAAAATAAAGAAAATAATCTTTAAATCTAATAAGTGCAACAATTAAGTTATAAGTATTATTTCAGTTTTATAGATAAATCTGTAGGAAAATAACAATATTTCAAACTTTTGGGGAAACAATTGAACTCCACTAGTTTTGATTTTGTTTTTTTGCGTTGGTCATGATGATTTTTTTGCATATTGTTTCATTGAAGCCTTCAAGATGATTAAATCTAAATCTAATTCGAATGACGATAGGGGTGGATTTTGTCTTTTTATTACTTGCCCAAGTTTAGATTATTTGATATAAGCCACCTTCTTCCAAACAATCAATTATATTGTTTCAACCACAAGTTCTGTAGTAAATTCATTCAAATTTAGTTACGAACACTCAATACACTAATAAAAGACATAAGAACGCATAAAAGACATCTCTTGCAGGGGAACATAAAAACGCATATTACATTGAATGATGCTCAAGACACATTACTGAGAATCTCTTGCACTCATTGCACCATCTCTAAGTCTCTAAGATTCAACACTCCCTAATGCAAGCAAAATTTGTCAAACCCAAATGATGCTCACACCAAAGAGTGCACCGCCTGTAATTGCCTAAAGGCGTTTAACAAAACATTCTCCAAATCACATCATTGGCAGACAAAGACGATGTTTACCAAAGAGAACGTGTTTTGAATTCCCTATGAAGATTCCACATCAGAATCTTCTAAATTTTCTCTATAGACTTCAAATTCATCTGGGCTCCACCTGCATATCAGGTGTAGCTTAAAAGTAGCCATCTTGATGCCAAGCAGACGCTGCATAACAAGAAGATGAAAGTAAGTATGCCTCTTATCATGTTTCAGATTTAGGGCCCAGTCTACCAACAAGATATAGGAGTGGTAAATTGACCTTCAGTCAAGTTTTTAAAACAGTTTCATTTAGTTTAAAACAGGTTGGGAAAGTGGGAAATTGATAGCCACATCTAAACAAGACTTAGTTTGTTTGTCTAGTGCAGTTCGGGAATCTTTTTTTTTCATATTGGGGATTAAATGTGTTACTCTTGTTTAGTTAGGTTTTAATCAAAATACGGTTTAGAAATAAACATTACCAACTAAAACTAAATTACATATGTTTCAGCTTTGATTCAAATTACTTTTGATTGGGTGCAGCCAAATCAAACCAAAATTTGCACCAATTAGTAGCGGTCTAGTCTGTCGTACAAATGACAAACCTGGTAGTACATAATTCTTTATGAGTTTTTTCAAATATATTACTAAAATAAAATTTATTTACACAAATATGACTATAATTACTACACAGAAAGATTATACAAATGAGATATTCGTGTTTATTAAATATATAAACCTTGAACACAGAAAGATGTAAGATTGGATAGAGACGAAACGAACCAGTATACGAGCGGCTTCCGGGGATAAAGGTTCCCCACCTTCACAGACAACATAGTCTGAAACTAGCTCAACAACACCTGTTTACAGTGTGACGCAAAATTTGTTAATCTAGGTAGACATGAAACATAATGTTATATATTTTCCATAGTAACCATATATTCATACATTATACATTTACACAATCAGGTAGAAACAAAAGGGTAACTACCTTTGTTTAACCGAACAGGCATTCCTTGCTTGCGCAAAAATGGCTCCATCTCATGAGTGAATTGGTCCAGAGGGCCTTCTTTTAGCTCCACCTAAGAGGTTAAAGATGGATTCAACAGTTCAACATAAAAGATGGAACCTAGTACAAAGGTTTCAAACAAACACAGACGTGTGTGGATAAGCATAATTTTCTGACATAGGATACCAAACTGGTGCCACATAAACATTAGGCGTACCTTTTCTGTTGCAAGACTCCCAGTCCTCGCAAAGTCATATTCTTCATAAAGGTTGAATAATCTGGAAAAGTTTTTTAATGTCTGAATGAACTAATTAATATCAAACGATATGAAGAAATGGATGATAAACAACATGTGCCTAAATTATTTGAGAGATGTACAAACTACTCCGTGTTAACATTGTTTAGTTCTTCAGAAATGAAATTGTAAAATAAAACAAAATTACAAATATCTTTATTCAAACCAGTGTCCAGTAAATAAGTTATGCACTGGTTACTCATCATTAGATGCCAGCAAAGAGATACCTTTCAATCTCTTCCTTGGGCAAATTAGTGAATAGAAGTCCTGAATCTCCACGCAATAGCTGTACAAAGATCACGGTCAACAAGTTACAAATAGGGTCATAATACCTGGGAAAAATCATACATGAACATGTACCTTAGATATCTTATAAAGACCCGGTTTAATTTCATCAGCAGCTGAGCGACCTAATGCTAACTGCATAACCTTATTTGAACCGAGAAAAAATCTGAACACAAGGAAAAGGGAAAGGAATTTTACTTTTGAGAGTTTAGACCACATCTCCAAGCAATTCAATTATAGTTGAAACTGGCAAGAATTTAGCGCACAATCTGTATATGTGTCATTACAATTAATTATAAGCTGAATAAACCAGTGTTTTAACCTTTTTAATTGCCAAACAGGTTACAGCTTGAGTATGGCATTAATCTCAAATAATTAAAAGTATCCATATACTAATTTTTTATCCAGTGAAGACTGCGATTCTTGATTAGTTTTAAAAAGCTGGACTACACACATCACTCCTTTCAGACCTAAGCACTAATGGCCTTTAAATTTCAATTTCGAACCACATAAACATTTAAATTTTTGCCAAAACATGACTTAAGCTTGCCTGCTAGAAGATTTAAGCTGCTCTCTGAACTCTTTAAACTTCAGATTCCTCATGTTCTCGAAGCCAAAAACGTAAACGAAACTATGCTTCTCAGCAGAATCCCTGATCATATTTATAATGTTCTCTTTGTGGGATCTATCCTTCTTCTTCGTCTTGGATAGAGTCACTGATGTCAAGTATACAACAAAGAAATCAAAGAAGATGAAGGCGAGTTTCAATTTTATGGGCAAAACTGGGGAGTAAATTTCATGAAAAAGTTCAAATTCTTCGATTTCTTGATGTGTGATAGGAGAAAAAATACGCGAAAAATCACCATTAATTAAGACAAAGATACAGCGCTAACCTGGTCTGTTACGCTTGGATTTAGGCATTCTTGACTTAGCAGGCTAACTAGTCTTGGTTGTGCTTCGGTAGTTTGCCCTATACTACCCAGCCTCCCTCAACAATCGTAATCTTAAATCCTTATAAAACCCTATACTGCGCTTGATACCAACATGCCGGATTAATATATTGGGCTTATATCTGGGTTTGCCCAGATTGATGGCTCTGGGCTTTTTTAATGGAAATAGTTTAGGAAAGGGAAATTCCGAAATTCTATTTAAACCCTTCTTTTATTATTAAAATCACAATTCACAAACACATAATTGTCATAATTTCTATCATGCCCAAGTTATTTAACACACCTTTTAGTCTCGACAGTCTTAAGTGAAAGAAGAAGACCCCTTCTTTTGAAAACAAAATTCATCATTATAGCATCTCCAATATACATCATGCAAAGTGAAGTGACTATATATTGAACTACGAAACAAGCCTACAACCCACAAAGTCTTACTACCCAAGTTTTAGTATACTAAGGAGTAATATACGGAGTATAACTTTTTATCGACATGCCGGAACGTATTACTCCAATCCTGCAATCCATCAGGGATTTTTAAGCTACCAATGATTTTCATGTTCACCATCATATTCATCTGATTCTGTCATTTCATCATCATTGATGTTTTCATTGGCATCAACATCAGTTCCATGGCCATCTAAAAAGGATGCACCATTGTGCAAATAACTCACATCCTCCTCTATAACCATGTTCAAAACAGGCTCATTGGGGAGGCTGCTGCATTAACACCGTGCCCAAATACAACAACATTTGATGTTGACGGAGTTATAGAAGCGTCACCTATGGATTCTGCACGGTATATCTCCACTGTGGAAACAGTCATCATGTTAACTATCATCCACATTCCTGTGATAGCTTTCTCGTCATCAAGTGGCATATTTCATGTATGATTCCCCGTGAAGGGGATATTTCACTTGCAAAGAATGTTTTGGAGAAATCTGTGTAGCAACATGTATTTTTTGCAACATCTCTAGCAGACATGCGCCACGAGAAACAACAACAATCCTTCTCCTACCACCTTCATAGCGTATCCCCCCTGCTTTCTCAAATAATATTCCTCCCAATGACATTATTGAGAAGTTGGAGAAATTCATATTCTAATAACAATACATGACGATAATTGATGAGTACACGTTAGTATACACACTTTAAACACACAACTTCATCATTTCAAAATCAAATATTCTACACACTAACATTAATATGTTCAATTTTCTCAATTGAACATCTCATATTTCATACCATTATTAATATCATACAATAAAGAAACATTTCAAAATCAAATATTATACACTCTAACATTAATATGTTTAATTTCCCCAATTCAAAATTTCATATAAGAATCCATAATGTACTTAACAAAATCAAAATATTACATTAATATCCACATTAAAATTCAATATTTCATACATATCCACATTACACAACAAATCAATTCACTAACCAATTCCCAAATTACAAATTCGAAATTTATCTATTAGAAACCCCATGTTGAGGTTTAATCCTTTAACCCAAAGGCCCAACACGTTTCCCTTGGATTTCGAGTGGAGAGTTCGGTGGATATGTGATGCAAGCAAGTAAGATGGGTCAATACGAGATTAGTAAGTGGGCAGTATCTTATTAAATTATAATAAGGGTCCGTATACAACACACTTCAACTACAAGCATCGAGACCATTCGTCTATCTTAGTGAAGAAGAGTTAAGATAAATGCTTTTATAATGAAATAATTGTTACTATTTATACTACCAAGGAGTATGTAGTGTTGTTGACGTGGATGACTGCGGATGGCTAGCTGTCCAACCACCAAGTCTACTGCATCAGATGTGTAACACCCCCAAATTTCCCTCCCAAAATACCTTTAAATAATGATATATTCAAAGGAATTTAAACTTTATTTGAAACATCAGAATTGTGCAGCGGAAATTTAAATGGGAAACAAGGAGCGTTACCGCCACACTCGGTTCTCACATAACCGAGTGCACAGGCTAACCACCACCAAAAATTGAAATTCTAATTAATTAATTGTTCAACTACAATTCTTTAAAATTAAGACTAAAATAAATTACTCAAATCACTTTAGTCTATGTTTTCTAGCGGCAGCTCTCGAAATCAACTTCAATATGATCCTTAATTCCTGCACAAATAAAGTACAGAAAGAAAACACAAAGAAACAAAAATTAGCTTGAAATGCTAAGTAAGGGCCTACTCAACCCTGTAAAATAATCAGGTTTGATACATATATAGTTTTGTCAAAATACATGTCAAAACCCTTTTTAAGGGATGTTGAAACCTTCTCAAAATGCTTTACAATTCCTCAAATGCAAGCAAAATATTTGATCTCATAAGTATACAAATAAATGCACACACTAAAATGGGGTTCGTAAAAATTATTCCATCTCATGGCATATCACACATATGCAAGTAAAATAATGTCTTGATATATATCTCATAATCTTCCAAAATACTTTGTCAAATCTGTATACTTTCCAACATACTAAATACAGAGTAATAATTTTCGAATACCGTTCATAGCTTAAAATAATGTTTATAAACATTGAATAGTTGGTATAGTAGGATTAAGATATTACTTCCTAAAACAATTAATCTCCAAAATGGCTTTTGAAATCCAAACGTACACACATTTCATATTCGTAAGTAAATTCAATCCAAATGGATTGCTAGCTTTACCAAAATCTTTCAAAAATCCATATCCAAAAGTGTTTGTAATATTTGGTGGTAAGTATCATTCTCCAAATAGTATGATAAGGAATACTGTAATAATTCTCCACAATAGTCTCAATGGTAATAAAAGATTTAATGCCCCAAAAAAATATTTAATCCTCCCATATATCCCAAATGATTCAAGGTCTCAAAATAATTTCTCCAATAGATATTTCCATTCTCAATTCCACCAGAAGTATATATATAATACTTTATGTTTCTTTTAAGAGTGGGCGAAACTCAAGATTCCTCGAGTCCAATGAGTCGTTGTTGTCTACGACTCATCCCGGAATTCCGGCTCCCACCGACCACCAAATGGAAACTGAATTTCTACCTTAAGTGTGCACACCCTCTAAAAGAGATTCCAAGCTCTCCGAGTAGTAAGAAATCCAAGTAGGCAGGATGTTTTCTACCACCTACTCGCAAGGGACATTGTCCAAGGGTAAATTAGGTAACTACTACTACGACCACCAAAGGATCTTTGATCCTCAAATAAAAGCCCGGGATGTCTACCGGAGCGTGTCATTGTCGGACTGGTTACCGACCCAAATAAATTTCACCAAAAGTAGTAGTAGCCCTAACCACCCACGCCTCGTGTTTCTCTCGAGACGTAAAAATATATTATGAAAACTTTAAGTTTTCCCCAAAATCATTCTTGTCATACTTCCAAAGATATTCTTTGTAATAAATACCAATCCACCAATATTCTTTAAAAAGAATATACATTTAATCATACATAGAGAATAATCCATGAATACTCATATATTCAAAATATTCCATCCATATCAATCATAAATTTTTCAAGTCATAAATAATTTCTATAGTTCAAATATTGCATACATATAATTATGCGATAAGTCATTTTTTTTGGCATCGAAATCTACATTGCTAAAAAAAGTACTAGTTATACTCATATATAAAGGTGTTTATTTTATACTATATTGTATTGAGATCTCTTAAAATCAATTGTAGCTCAATAATAATTTGATAGTCAAATGCTCGTGCGTAATATTATTCAAGTATGGAATTTTATAAATAAATAAATATTTGTATCAGAATACCTCAAAATTGTGAATGAGATAAAATAGTAAATTTTAGTGAAAATAATAGTTTAATTTGACATGCGGATATAGTTTTTATTGAATTCCTTAGATCATTGAAGAGGCAAAATATCTACATTTTAGAAAACATAAGTACTTACTTGTCACCATATAAATATCCGTACCAAAGCCTCTCAAATCATCTATAAGTTTTATAGATTCAAATACTAGTTATTACTATACTCTTAAGTGTAGTAGTTTAAAATATAAAGTTATTGGAATTTGTCAAAAAAACGTGTGTGAGATGGAAATATAAATCTTTGAAAGTATACTCTTTTACTAATCTCAAATGTATACTTCGTATAATTCTTTATTGAAGCTTTATAAATAGTAATCATATAATTAAATTTTCAGAATCGTTTGGATGTTCAAAAATCAACCTACATAAGAACAAGGACTTGTCATATTTCCAAAAGTAGTCATACTATCCAATCTCAAATTGTAGTTTTACAAAAAAAAACTTAATATCCAAATCACACTTTCTCAAGATCAATAAACTGATTTGTACACAAGATAGCCATATTTCACGTATCCAAATGTTTTATCAAAGTTTCCAAAACTCATCGAGGAAGTCACAAATTTAGTGATGCTAGTAAAATAGTAATTTTAGCAAGTCCAAATCCTTCACATATTTTCAAATAATTTCAAATCTCAAAACTTGGAACATACTGTGTAGTTCACATACAAGTTTTTAAAACTATTAACTAGAGGAATAGTAGTTTTGATTGACGGAAACACTTACCTTGATTCGTGTCACTCCTATTCAAGTTGTTATTTCGGTCTTCACCGCAACCACCTTTTAGCTATTAAAATTTCACAATCAGTACATTATTCTATTTTTGCATTTTATTCAATTTCTCCCAACCCGGTTGATTTTATTATTATCCGTATCATTATTATTATTGTTAATGTCATTGAAACTATTTCTATTATTACTATTTACTATCATTTCAGTGCTATAAACATTACGGCCAATCCCAAACTAGAGCCTAAGTTTATTCTCTTATCATAATAAAGCTCCGGCACAATCAAAAATAGAACCAGACTTAACAAAAAAAACGTAAATGAGGTTTCGGTCGTCTTCTTCATATTTATGCCGGAGATAGATGGTGGGGTTTACCTCCTTCACGATGGAAGGGATGGCCGGTTGATAATCTGGGGACCAGACGGAGACTAGGAGACGTAGCCTAGCAATCACCCCGACATTTTTCCTCCTCCGGCGCTAGTTACTCCTACAGCAGTAGCGACGGCGTTCTACCTCCGGTGTGGGACCCAGTCCGGCGGTTTCGGGCGATGATTGAGCATCCTTCCCTTTCTTCTCTCTTTTCTCTCGCCCTTTTCCTTTCTTTCTCTCCCTCGCTATATATCTTTTCTCTCCTACGCCCGACTTTATTTTCTCTCTTTCCTTTCCTTCTTTTCCCTTTCCTTTGCTCTCTTTTCTTTCTAAGTCATTCACTCGTTTTGGGTATATGCAGTGAGGGTCGATCGGGTGACTGCTATTTAAACACTGCTTCTAGGCTAAGGTTAAGTACATTGCATACAATAGGCATCGTAGGTTTTGTCTCCAAAAGATATGGGTGGGTTTATGAAGATATGTGTGTACGCAGTATATTATTTTTGGCCTTATATTTATTATTATTACTGTTTACATCATCACTTATGTATCATTGTTTTATACGCCTTATATTATTGTATATATGCATTATTGAGAGTGGCATGTACGTACGAATTGAATGGCTACCCATGTGGGTTTCTAAGTTTCTATGACAAGATTCTAAACATATCATGTGAGTACATACACTCCTATATTATTGCATTATTAGTTATTACTATGCCATGTCTATTCTATATTATTGGTAGGTTATTGTGATCTATTATTATTGATATGTGTACATATTCTCCGAATACTACGTATATTATTAGATTTCAAAAGTCAATCTTTCAACATTTTTTTTTGATATTAAGTGTACTTTGGCACACATTATTAACCGAATTGACATTTGTGAGATGTCACTTTTTTTTTATTATCTATTTCTATTAATTAAGTCAAAGTCTTATCTGGTCAGTCTAATTATTGTAAAATGTCAATTTTGAAACATTTTATATAATTAAAAAGAGTTATTTATTTATTTTAAATTTTCAGAGTATCACATTCTACCCTCCTTAAAAGATGTTTCGTCCCGAAACATAAGCTTAAAAAAATTACAAATACTATGTATATGGTTATGTTAAATTCTTCTTCTTAAATTTAAGGAGTGTCACAATCTACCCTCCTTAAAAGAATGCTTCGTCCCTGAAGCATAATACTAAAATTTTCCTTAGGAATACTCTTATCCTATATTCTACAATAAAAATATAGGAGCAAATAACACGTAAGCCTTGGTGATAAATCTTTCATAGGGGAATATAACACTAATATGCCTATTTCGAGAAATGATTAATATTCACATAATTATACACAAGCATAAAACCAATACTCACCAACTCACCACGATCCTAGACTTATTATTAACTTAGTCAGATTATTACTCCTAAGTTTCTTCTTTTTGAAACACATTTATAAAACCGGTATTTTTTTTTTGTATATAAAACATTTGAGAAAACTCGTTGCAAAAGTTTCAATAGGTTTTAGAAAACAAAAGCTCAGTTTAACAAAATCTCATAAAATGTTTTTTTTTTTAAACCATAGTCACTTGAAGGAAAGTTTTATTTGAAAATCCCAATTTGAAAATCTCACAAAATGTTTGAAAATCTCATTTTGGAAAATCAAAGGCTCTGATACCAACTTGTAACACCCCCAAATTTCCCTCCCAAAATACCTTTAAATAATGATATATTCAAAGGAATTTAAACTTTATTTGAAACATCAGAATTGTGCAGCGGAAATTTAAATGGGAAACAAGGAGCGTTACCGCCACACTCGGTTCTCACATAACCGAGTGCACAGGCTAACCACCACCAAAAATTGAAATTCTAATTAATTAATTGTTCAACTACAATTCTTTAAAATTAAGACTAAAATAAATTACTCAAATCACTTTAGTCTATGTTTTCTAGCGGCAGCTCTCGAAATCAACTTCAATATGATCCTTAATTCCTGCACAAATAAAGTACAGAAAGAAAACACAAAGAAACAAAAATTAGCTTGAAATGCTAAGTAAGGGCCTACTCAACCCTGTAAAATAATCAGGTTTGATACATATATAGTTTTGTCAAAATACATGTCAAAACCCTTTTTAAGGGATGTTGAAACCTTCTCAAAATGCTTTACAATTCCTCAAATGCAAGCAAAATATTTGATCTCATAAGTATACAAATAAATGCACACACTAAAATGGGGTTCGTAAAAATTATTCCATCTCATGGCATATCACACATATGCAAGTAAAATAATGTCTTGATATATATCTCATAATCTTCCAAAATACTTTGTCAAATCTGTATACTTTCCAACATACTAAATACAGAGTAATAATTTTCGAATACCGTTCATAGCTTAAAATAATGTTTATAAACATTGAATAGTTGGTATAGTAGGATTAAGATATTACTTCCTAAAACAATTAATCTCCAAAATGGCTTTTGAAATCCAAACGTACACACATTTCATATTCGTAAGTAAATTCAATCCAAATGGATTGCTAGCTTTACCAAAATCTTTCAAAAATCCATATCCAAAAGTGTTTGTAATATTTGGTGGTAAGTATCATTCTCCAAATAGTATGATAAGGAATACTGTAATAATTCTCCACAATAGTCTCAATGGTAATAAAAGATTTAATGCCCCAAAAAAATATTTAATCCTCCCATATATCCCAAATGATTCAAGGTCTCAAAATAATTTCTCCAATAGATATTTCCATTCTCAATTCCACCAGAAGTATATATATAATACTTTATGTTTCTTTTAAGAGTGGGCGAAACTCAAGATTCCTCGAGTCCAATGAGTCGTTGTTGTCTACGACTCATCCCGGAATTCCGGCTCCCACCGACCACCAAATGGAAACTGAATTTCTACCTTAAGTGTGCACACCCTCTAAAAGAGATTCCAAGCTCTCCGAGTAGTAAGAAATCCAAGTAGGCAGGATGTTTTCTACCACCTACTCGCAAGGGACATTGTCCAAGGGTAAATTAGGTAACTACTACTACGACCACCAAAGGATCTTTGATCCTCAAATAAAAGCCCGGGATGTCTACCGGAGCGTGTCATTGTCGGACTGGTTACCGACCCAAATAAATTTCACCAAAAGT